AATATTTAATATTTTATAAAGAAATTAACAATTTTTTTTAATTTCGCAGGCAAATTTGCCTGCTAGACAATCTAAGGAATAATAGTTACAATCTATGACATAAATTCAAATTATTTTTATAAGTGCAAAATGTAAAAATATGTAAAAAATATTATGTAATCAATTGCAATTATTATAATAGTTGCAACTTTTAATAAAATTAAACTAAAGTTGGATAATGTAATTATAGAGTGCAATATTATATTAATAATTAAAGATTTATAACTTTTATTATAAAATATATCTTTATTATATTATTATGGTAATCAATAAAATTTTTTAATTAAAGTAATGCAGATCAATCTACTTATAAAATAAAATAAATAAAATATCAGTTTAAAAGTTTATTAGAACTAGTATAAACAGATGACAAATAGATTGTAATATATTTTTGACAAATATCAGAATTGCAAATTCAACACTTTGTGTTTCAATCTAGCAATTGAATGGGTCAAACATAATAGGATTGTAAATATGACATATCTCTGACAATTAAGAGAGAAATAAATATGAATCATAAGTTGGACAATCTGTGTCTCAATCAGACAATTGAATGGATTATGAATGAAAAATAAATAACAGATTGCAAGTTCAGCATTTTATATCTTAATCCAGTAATCAAATAAAAATATAAAGGTAAGATTGCATGACAGTTCTTCATCAGTTCTATGATATTACTACAGTACTGGCATGACACTGAGTCAGATTTACAAATTATGTGCTATAAATTTCAGCCAGAATTATATTATAGAACCAGCTAAAATTTCATTACAAAATGGGAGGCAATCAGTAAAAAAGGGGGAAATCCAAAATTTTTGTTAATTTTTATTATTAAACCAAATTTGTACATATGATCGTGATTAGCCAAGTGGTTTAATAATATAAATTTTAACCAAAATTTAGATTTTCCCCTTTTCTAATGACCGCCTTCCAAATATATAACATGATTTTTTTGATGGTCTATCTCAGTACATTATAGTTTACAAAGATACACTATACTTTGGTTAACTAATATATAACAAATAGATTATAATGTCTTGTTATCTATTAGTCTTCATAGGTATATTATATTCTGGTTAACTAACATGTAAACAAAATAAACTATAATTTCTAGACTAAGTAGATATATTAATATGTTACTGGATCGAAGGTGAGGAGAATTGAAAAGAGTACTTAATTTTAAAATAAGAATTTTCCTAAAAAAAAAAAAAAAAAAGGGTAATAGATCCAAAAAGTTACTTCAGATTTACTTATTTTTAATAGTTTCCATTTATTGTATCTAGTTAATAGTTAGCATTAGTTTTTATATTAAAATATAAATGGTTTTGATTAATTGAATTGAATTTAGACAATCTTTTTATATTTATAAATTATATAATATTTTTAATATAAAAATCCTATTGGTTGATTTCTATAATGCCGGGCCGATAGATCAAGTAAATTGTTTCAAAAAAAAGAGTTTTAGATAGGGTTCTTACTTTTATATAAAACGTCTATAAAGTCGAAACTTTGATAATGTCCGACGTAGTTCCCTATATAATTTGGGAAAAGGTACTTATCTATAATTCATTCATAACTTTTTATTTAGTTATTTACATTTATTATGATCATAGCAAGAAGGTCAATTATGTGCTCAACATTGTCTGAATTCTCTTCTTCAAGGTATATATAAAGGTCTAATTTTCTCATATTATGTCATAATATTTATTATTAATTTTTATTCTTATAGGAGAATATTTTACAGCCGTTGATTTAAGTGAAATTGCCAGAAATTTAGATCAGGCGGAACAAGCTGCTTTAAGTGAAGGAAATACCGAAGAAGTTGAAGAAAATATCCAGAACCGAATTGCTAATTCCAGTTCGAGCCAAAATATGGATGACTCTGGTATTTTAGATTAATTAAATATTTATTTATTTTATATGTACTCTATTGATTTATTATTTTTGTATAGGGTTCTTTTCTGTGCAAGTATGTTAAAGTCTTTTGATTTGTATGCAATTTGAAAATTTTATGTCGTTCTACTCTTTTATGTTTTATTTATTTAATTTTATGTAGGTATTAAGTCATGCATTGAAAGTATGGAATATTGGTAATTCATAATACAAAGTTTTTCTAATGCTATAATTCAGTAGTCGCTTTTCATTTACAAAGTTGGTTAATGATAGATATAATACCAATTGGGTCCGAAGACGGTCGTATTGCAAGGATTCATCCTGAGTATTTATTAAAATATATATGATATTCATTGCTTTATGTTTCTTATTTAAATTTTTCATCTCATATTATAGGGATGAGATAGCATATATATGTAATTTACATGAACATTGGTGAGTTCGATAGACTTTATTTTGATAACATAATAGTTTTATTAGATTCAATAACTTTATTTGATTTTTTTTCTAAAAAAAGGTTTACTCTTAGAAAATTTGGTGGAATATCATCACGTTGGTACAATTTAGACTCCCTCTTTCATGGTCCAAAAAGTATCAGTCAAACTTATTTAGGAATGTTACTTAATCAATTGGAAAATGAAGGTTTGAATGACACGTCATAAAAGCAAAAAAAAAAAAAAAATATTTCTAAATAATTATATTAATATTTTATATAATTTAAAGGGTATAGTATATTCGTGGTGAAAGGACAATTACCTTCAAGTCAAGCTGATGAATTTGCCAAATCGCTTCCAAACCCTAATTTACAAGGTATTCAGGAAAATCAACAACAGAATGTGGATGAGATTAATCAAGCAATGATCGATGCTGCTATTGCAGCTAGTTTGGAAAGTAATGATGTTAGTGTTAATAAGGAAAATTTAACGAACCCTATTAGCGAACAAAGTTCTGGTAATGAATTAGTTTCATCAATGATTGTTGACCAACCGACAATTGATGAATTGCGGGCAAAAAGGCTCGCGAAATTTGATAATGGTGATGGAAAGTGAAAGATTAGGATTATGATTTATGGTTGGATTAATTTTGTTTGAAAGTTTTCTTTTTACAAGGACTGAAATTGAAAAAGTACTTAATTTTGACAACAAAAATTATAATTACACAAATGAATAACAAATCAATGATTATTTGCATCATGTGATATCCTAATTGAGATATACAGCGTGATAACAAAAATGCAGTTAGCGTGACAAATCCAATGTGACTTAAGGTTCGTAATACATCAATAATAGGTAATACTAAGTATTACTATTATTTCCTGCATGATCTTCGGAGAGAATCAAGGCTCCATCAAGCAAAGCCCGGAGGAAAATTTCCCCGAGCACCATTTTCATCTCGATCCATGTGGGAGTATTCAAAAAATAGGAGGATCTGAGATGTACAAATGCCGAAGTTGTGGGGTTGTAACCAGCTGCAAGTTTTTGAAGTATAGCCTCATTTTGGATAATAACATGGACCCCTAATTCTTCAGCTTTAGTTACCAGACGTTGGCGAAATTGATAGTGAGCCCAACAGAGCATTTTACGAACAGTTTTTCGCATTATATTTCTTGTTTTTCGATTTACCATATTTGATACCTCAAAAGGAGGAATGATAATGGCATCAAATTCGCGAGTAAAAAATGCAACACTCTTTTTATGAATTTCACTTTGCAGATGTTTGATTTATCATCCGAGAAATTGCATTATCAAGTCGCAAGGCCTTTTTATTTTTACGTTTTGAATTAGAGGCAGCCAGCTTGTCCCTTATAGAATGAAGATTATCCATATATTTGCATAAACGAATAATTCGTCCAATGTCATTTGGCCAATTTTACCTACACCTTTAGTAGGAGAATACCATGTGAAGGGTGTACGAACACCAGGATCAATGGAGACTGCATGAACAGAACCATCCGCTTGGGTTTCGCGGAGCTGTTTTTGCATCTCATAAACCCATGAAAATTTCCATTCATTAGTTTTACGAATATATGTAATTTTACAATCAGATGTTATCTTGTGAGGAACAGGCCACTTATTATTATGCCTTTTTTTTTCAAAATGAAGAGGCCACAAATCACGTTTATCATGATCCAGGGTGATAACAGGCTTATGACGATGTGTGGAAAGCATTGATGGATTGTGGAGATAGGTGACATAAAAACGGTTTCACATGGATTTTGAAAAATTTTGTGAACGAATTGTTATTGTTTGTCGTAAATCTTTTCGAGATCGAAATGATAAAGATGAACCTCGTTGATTCGTGTTTGATCCTATATTATGGTTAATTATCTTATCCCTAAAATTAGTTTAAAAAAATCAGAAAAAAAAATTTTAAAAATCAAAAAAAAAAATCATACCTAGCAGTTAATGCTTCATCAATTGCCTCATCAGGTGCTTTACCATGTGTACCTTGAAGCAGCATTCCAATACGCACAATAGTTTGTACAAATTTGTGTTCACCCATACACATGTTTTTGAAGTTTCTTATCCTCACGTTCATTAACATCTTTTCCTACATGAATATCTGCATAAAGTTTAAGTTTATCTTTAATACAAAGGGTTGCCAAAAGTCTCTGAATACTTTTTAGCTCAATATGAAACTCAAAATTTTAAAGTTTAACTAAAAAAAGTTTAATAATATTTTTATTTAAATAAGATTTGCTCTACATTTTGTATTAAGTAACTAGTACTTAGTTGCATCTCCATTTGCTTCAATTACAGCCCGAATTCGCCGTGACATACTATCAACCAAATTTTTGATAGTATGTATAGGAATTTCTTGTCATGCCTTCTTAACATATCGGTCAAGTTCAGCAAGATTGGAAGGCTGTTTTTTCCTTTCACAAATGCTTTTCTTGATATCAGCCCACATATTCTCAATTGGATTGAGATTCGGACTTTGAGTAGGCCAAGTAAGTATGCATAAGTCATTTTCTGTATGAAATTTCTTTGCAACTTTCGATTTGTGAGGGCGAGCATTATCCTCTTAGAACAAACCGTCACTATTTGGAAATACATATCTCATAGATGGCATAACGTGCTTGCTAAAGCTTTGCATAAGCCAGCTCGAGCTGAGCCGAATTATTTCAGCTCACAAGCCAGCTCAGATCGAGTCCAAAATGTGACAAGCTGAGCTGGCTCGCGAGCCAAACAAGCCAGCTCATATGGCTTACATTATTAACAAAAATCCGAAAAAAATTTCAGAGTAATTGAAAAGTTTCGGAAAGCGATTTTCTTCAAGAGAATTATTTCTGAAATAGTTTTCTTCAAGAGAAACGTCTTCAAATCGATTCTCTTGAAGCGAAAATGCTTTAAAGCGCTTTTTCTTTAAGAATTACGCTCTTAGGGCGTTTTTCTTTAAGAATTGCGCTCCTAGAGCGTTTTTCTTTAAGAATTGCGCTCTTAGAGCATTTTTCTTTAGAATTAAGCTCTGGAGTATTTTTCTTTAGAATTACGCTCTGGAGTATTTTTTTTAGGAAATTCACTTCTAGAGTGTTTTTCTTTAAGAATTATGCTCCCAGAACATTTTTCTTTAAAAATTACACTTTTGAAGCATTTTCTATAAGACCTATGCTTCTGGAATGTTTTTTTTAAGAAATACGTTACCGCAGCATTTTCTTTAAGAACTATGCTTCCTGAAGCATTATTAATTAGAAATAATGTTCCGGCAGGTGTTGTCATTTAAAAAAGAGCTCTGAGACGATTTTATTTAAAAAAATGCTTCAGAAGTGTTATTCTTCTAAGAAAACGTTACCGAATCATTTTTTTTCAAAAAAATCATTGCTGGAATCGTTTAACTTCGAAGAATTGTTTCTGAAATCATTTAACTTCGAATAAATCGTTATCCGAAAGGATTTTTTTCGAAGTTAATATTCTTGGATTGTTTTTTTCAAAAATGAAAAATTCAAGCTGATGAGCTGAGCTGTACCACAAGCTGAGCCACGGCATGAGCTAGCTTGATCGGCTCGCAAGCCATTTTATAGCTGGCTCATGAGGTTTGTGAGTCAGCTCAGCTAATGCGAAACTTTAGTACTTGCGAAAGATAGTGACATATGTAGCATTAGTTGCTGTTCCAGATAGTGGAACAATAGGTCCTAAACCTTGTCTTGAAAAGCATTCCCAAAACATTTGACCAGAGCTATGCTTCATTGTAGCAGCAATACAAGAAAGGTTCCACTCATCCTTAGGTTCCCGTCATACTCTACTACACTGGCATTGTTGAAATTGAGAAAAAATCAATTCATCACTCCACATGACTTTGTCTAATTGTTTATTATCCAGTTTTGGTATTTCAAATACCATGCAAAATGTGCTTTCATATTTGCTGGTAAGATTAATGGTATGCATCGAGCAAGACAATTCTTTAACCCAACTTCATGAAGTATCTGGTTAATAGTACAAGTTGAAACATCTTGTCCGGTCTTTTTCTTCCAAAGTTGTTAAATTTCAGCAGTACATAAGTGACGATTCTTTCCTTAATCATTGGATACAAGTCACTTAAGCTTGTTTTATTGTGAAGATTTAATAAGGAGTAGTCGACCAGAATGAGGCCTCGAATGAGTGGTTCCAGTATCATTCATTCTTTTTAAAATGTCAAATACTGTTGACATTTCATACTCAACGGTCGTGGCAATAGTTCGATAACTATCGTCACGTTGACGGCAATAAAACATCATTCTGTGTCGTTCTTTTATTAACTTTTTGATTATTTTCGTAATTTTCAAAGGATGAAGTTTATTTTGAGTTAAAGTCAAAATAAATTAACAAACATGTATTTATTAAGTTTGATTCATGTAAACAAAGTTCAAAATGCCATATGATCGCAGTATTATTAAATTACATGAAATTACCGGTATGAAATCGCACTTAAAATAGTATTTAGAGACTTTTAATGATCCTTTATAGGTTGAGGTTTTACTCAAACTCGTTGTGATAAACCAATATGTGAATTCTTGGTATAGAAACAGCAGTATCAACTTCAGCAAACAACTGCATTATAAGCATATCTCATTAAGCCCATCCAACGTTTCAATAGCTGCTTTTGAGAGTGATTTGGATACACTTTGATTAGCAGTATACGATTGAGAGTAGTTTCCAATTGTTGTTTTTTGTTGCATGTTAATATTATCCTAATCTTTATCTTACGCTTTTTCCTAACTTGCCATTCTCATCGGTGAATAGTGGCTCTTTTTCTTACATTTGGCAGATAAAGACTGTATTGATTTTAAGGATTTCAGGGAAGTTTGTATTCATCAGAGATCGCATCGTCTAAGAGAATCACGAGTTTTGTAGTATAGAGAAAGAATATATACTGAATGAGGTTAAAGGGGAAGTTTGTATTCATCGGAGGTCGCATCGTCGAAGAGAACCACGAGTTTTGTAGTATAGAGGAAGAATATATACTGAATGAGGTTGAAGGCAAAGCGGCAGAGTTAATCATGATGGGTAACCACAATTTCTCAGACCATTCCGCGACTTGTCCGTTCTAATAAGTTCTAAAGTCCCAGCTGTTTGAAGTTAATCCCTGATCTAATATCGCTGATGAGTTTGTAAGTTGGGTATTGGGAGCTGAGGAGTTGTTTCTGCCATTCAAGATCCTCTTTTTGCTTGACACTAAAATAGAGGAAACCTTTTTTGGTAGTGGTAGTGGTGGTGACGGTGGTGTTATCGGCATCCTGGAAAGTCAGCTCTGGAAAAATGGAAGATATATTGTAAAGATAAGTACCAGAAGGAGACGTCTTTGCAGTAATTCTTCCTTGCTTTAGCTAACGGCGTAAGGTGTCTGATGAGATTCCAAGTTTTCTAGTTACCTTGTGTGCAGACAAATACATGGAGGAGAGAGTTTATGAGTACGATTTTGATTGCTTTTTGAATCTTATATGATTTTCATTGATAATGATATTTTGATAAGCATTACTAAGCAATGGTATTATGGTAATTTAAAATGGGTAGGTATACGCTAAATATAGATTTATTTTAAAACGCCTTTCTTTTTTTTTGGTAAATTATATGACGACCAATCAAAAATTAAATATTGTATTTCAAAAAAAAAAAACGATTTCACTGCACATCGTGATGGCTGGAATTTACTAGGCCAATCATCGTATTGCGTGATCGTGTAGTTCGAAGGGTCGTCTAAAAAAAATAATACTCAGATAAGATATCAAATACTGGTGTAAATGTTCTACTTATATGCCTTCGAAAATATCTTGGCGTTAGTATTGAGACTGCAAAGCTAAAAGCATTCTATTGCCACTACGATACTGCGCCAAACATCCGGTCGTTTGATTATTTTGACGAGGTAAGTATGATTTTTTACTTGATTTTGCATATATTACGCAAGGAGGATAAAAAAAATGCTTACTTGATACCTCTGGTATCCTCTCCTTATATAAAATTTGTAGCGTCTGACGCACGATCTTGGAATTACATCACACAAATCCTCGCCTTCATTTCTTGGAACAAACTCTCAAGCTGTTTGATAAACCCTCAACCTTTCGCTGTTGTTTGTATTCTGTAACGCAAATAGGTTCTAGGATTCCTTGAATAAAGTAAAAAAAAATTACACGAAATTACGGGATTATAACAATAAGGATCAAATAATCCTTTGTGCTTTACATGATTAACTTTCGCAATTCCATTTTGAAAATTTCAAAATCCCTATAAAAAAAGTGTGAACGAGAAAAATTTAAAATTTTTTATTGACCCTTATTAATAGATCAAGACTATACAAAATTCACAGTTATCAATTTAATCTAGGCGAGATTTTCTAATTATTTCCATGAGCATTACATGGACGTTTTGCATCTCGTTCGTCCTCATTATTATTTGAAAATGTAGCCTGCTCTTGAAGAATACGTAATATACATTCAATCACGTTTTTTGAGCTATTATCATCCCGCTTAAATCCGCATATATATTCCTCAGAAATTTCGACCATTGGACTTTCTAGTTGACCAATCCAGCGAATGAATCGCCAATTACGACCTGTGGTTACAATACCAAATATTTGTGGAATTTGATCCGAGTCACACTTGCGTTTGCCTATTTTTTCCACTACAGTATGCATTTGCATAAGAACTTGGGCTATGTCCTCGGCGGTATCTTTCCACTTAGCTTCTTCTATTAAGACCATATTACCATTGATATTCACAACATAATCTACATAACCATATCCACGACTTCCGTTAAGCTCAGATTCTACAGATATCCATGCATTCTCATTTATATGAAGTTGAACATAACGGACAGCAGTGTTCATGAAAATTGATATAAATTCACGTGAGGTTTTTATTTCATTTCGGAATGTATAGTACTTTTGCGAGAGGCTCTTGATGAAGAGATCCAATTCATCGTCAATAATTGGAGGTTTTACTGGAGGGAGTTCATCCGGGTTAAATCTTGGTACAGTATCGAGAGCTATATGATCTTGTTTCAATATATCACGAAACACATCCTTAAATTTCCATTCAAAATAAGATTTTTTTCCTATAATCAGAAAAACGAGTACATGGATTTGCTCATAAACCGCATGATCATGATCCATAAATACCTGGTATGTTAATTGATAGATGGATTATACGTTTATTAGCCTCATTTGGTCGGACATCTGTTATAATATCGTTAAATGCGTACTCGCAATCTATCAGCATCTGATCTTTGGTTCCATTATTAGACACAAAAATATACTGGGTCGAACTCGATCGTAATTCTTCAAATTTTTTTTCGATGGCAGAACGTACGAGATACCAGAGCCCACTGGTATGTGGACGAATTATTTTAACCGATGAATTCGAGAGATTGCACCGCAAAATAACTATTGGAGTTTGTACTAGTTAGAGTTGACGGTAGCTAAAAAAAATATTTATTCCAACTTACCAGTTGAAGAAGAAAGAGGATAACGTATAACTAGTGGATTTATATCAGTTATTTTTCCAACAATAGATTCAAGACTAGTACTTTGTCGAAGAGGATTAATGCGATCTTCGTATGAAAATATCTCGAGTTTTCCTGGCTCAACGTCTTTGAGAGCCTTAATCTTACTGATAGGATTTAACTTAAGGTCGCCTAAGTCAGGTTTAGTTATATAATCATTTGGTAAAATATTATATTTTACGGAACTTGAGTCACCCTCAAGGAGAACCCACATTTTTATGATAGAATTTGTGGATACTGCTTTATTTACGTTAGACATGTCTACAGAAAAAAAAAAACGAATTCCGTTGCAATAATATGTTATATTATAATTAGTTCCAGTATGACTAGCGTGATTTTATTTGCTATTATACTTTAAATTATAATATTAAATATGGTCGAATTAGATCATTTATTACAGTAAGAGGTATATTGAAAGCTCGAATCCAAAAATTATTAACTTTTGATGAGATTTCTTTACATTTTAATTCCCAAGATCGATTTATAAATGCCAATAAAAAACTTTAGTTACTTGAAAAAACAACATTACCAATTATAGATATTACAAATATTATTGATCAATGCATAGTTTGGTTTGATAATGATACTTTACCATCATATTATAATTTTTCAGTTGCAGAAATAATATACAAATTTAATAATCGATGGAAAATTTGCACTATTAATCTTCGTCATCAACATTCAATTGAACGTCTACTACCACTTCAAGAGCCACTTAAATTTTTTTGGAACATTTCGAAATACATATCATTCGCTTATCTACAAATTGGGAATATGCCACGAAAATTACAATAACTGCAGATCTTCCTCAAGGAAATGATATTGCTGGAGTTTTTTGTCATAATGTATTTTTAATAGCCGTTATCATCAAATAACTAACCTTCAATTTAAAGAGATTTAGGAGCTTAATTCTAATATTGCTCAAATGCAACGAGATACAAAATTAGGATTGTGAGATCCAGGTCCTTTGGATCCATGATCCGGTTTTTTTTATTGCGCCACCTGAAAAAGAATCCATTTTTAGAAATTATTTAAAATGACAAGCTTTATCATTTACGATTAAAAATTCTCTC